TTTCGATGGTTTTGCGATGGAAAAGTGTGACGTGCCCACACAAAAAATCAGTGGACGCCCTGGGGTCTCAGGGCTGGGTTTCTTGTGGAAGGTTTCTTGTGAACTGGCCTCCACTGTATCGACTACACGTCAGAGTGACCCTTCGCGGAAGGGACCTTTCTGGTGCGGGCCCACTGGGCCGCCCCCCCCCGATCGCCGAAGGCGATGCGACAGCAGCGTCTGGCGCGCTTGTGTCTGGGCCCCCCGCGGCCCCCCAAAAGCCGCGCACCGAAGGTCACTCTGACCCAGGGTCGCTTCCCAGACCTCCTCGAGTCATGCCAAAATCACGACTGGCGTTTTTTTTGTTGTTGCTATTTTCCGCATCTGGAGGCCCCTACCAGGACTCGGGACCATCAAAAAACGACTCAGGATGAAAAGCCGGTCCCCAGGAATGGGTCCAGACCTCTGGGGGTCGACGTCATGAAAAAATCATGACGTCGGGGGTCTTGGTTGCAGGTACCACCGATTCCAGGTCGTTGTCTCCCTTTCGACCCCCCTCAGGCCGGCATGCTGGGCGGTGCCGCATTGGACATAGAGCTGGACTGACGCGCGGCGCCTTTGTTGAAGACCAAAAAGCGGCATGAGCACAAAGTTCCAGGCGTGCGCGCGGATCTTGGGTCGGCGCTGGACCCCGCTCTCCGCGTGTCAGGGCGTCGCCATGACGCCATCGGTGCGCGCTGGGCTCTTCCCCGGCCGCCGGGGAAGGGGTGTGGTGAGCTGGGCCCATAGCTGGCCCACTGAGATCACGGCTGGGGTTGCTGAGGGGATAGGGAGGTCAGGAGGGGATGCGCAAGTTCAAAGGATGAATAAGGGCCTCCTGGGAGGCCCCCGTCGCCACCGCTGGATCCTCTTCGAAGTTCAGGTCAGTACGCGCCCCAGGAGTCTGGGGAGTAGCGGTATCGATACTTGTTCGTTTCCCCCAAAGCAGGTAGTATTTGGCCTAGGCTAGCGTATAAGAGGGTTATACACGTGCCCTTAAGGCAGACATGTACCCCTCTAAGCCATTTAGGGCACTTGTAGCCGTAGCCCAGTGATAATCTAGTTTAGTTCAGACACATCCCACCTTAGCATCCGCTTCTGAGTCCTCTATCCACTTCTCAACCCCAGCGCAGATCTCAGCAAGAACTCCGCACGGACGTTCGACAGCTTATGCTTATGCAGCATTTGTTGTTCTTCTGGCCCTGCCCGGCAGCGTACAGACGCCGCGCCTGGCCACGCCGTTTTCCCAGAAAAAGCTCTTCTGGGTGTGAGCCAGGCAGGGGAGCCGAGGAAGTCGTGATAATGATGCGTTCCAAGACTTCCGGGACCTCCAGGTCTCCTCTATAGCTCCGCCCACCCGGGCTTCAGCCAGGCACGATGGCCGCTGGACGCGAGCTAATATTGAGCGCGCACCGAGCCCCGAGCCGATCGCATCATGACGTCATTGCCTGACATCCGCCGGAACCCTGGACCCCACCGTTCTGCGGCATCCCTCGGGCCGGATCGATCAGGGCAAAGTCGCCCATGGTGGAAAAACTGCGACGCCGGGATCTCAGGGCAGTGAGCCTCTGCGCGAATGGTTTTTTGGGGGGCTCGAGGCCCAGGGTCGGCGAGGTCTCGCGGTGGGGACGCGAGCAACGCAGTAAAAGGGAGTCGACTGCCCGGACATTCGCGCGCAGGCTGGCCGCGTAAGGTCGCGCGTGAGCGCCCTCGTTTCCACTGCAGCGTTCCACCCTGGCGGCTTGCGTAAGCCTCCGCGTGAGGCCTCCATATTTGTAGGCCTCCAACACGGGATCCGAGGTGATGGGGTCGGATGGTCGCGCCGCATCGACGACGCGTCGGCGATGCGGCTCGATGTGGAGCTAGACTTTCTCCACGCCGGCGTCGCCGATGCATCGCAAACGTCGCCGATGCAACCGCGATGCATCGGCGATGTATCGGCGATGCAGCGGGGATGCATCAGCGATGCGGCGCGTTCCTCCGACCCCATCTACTCGGACCCTATCCGGGTGGCCTAAAAGTAATTATCTGACCCCCCCCGAGGGGTCTCGACCCATTCCCCCGGACTGGCGTTTCATCCGGAGTCGTTTCTTGACAGTCCCGAGGCCCGTTGTGGGCCCCCGGAGGCCGAGAACTCTGAAACACCTCCCAGCACGGTTGTTGTAGGACCCGAGGGGGTATGGGTCTGTAGTGATATTGGTACCGATCGATGGGTTCTACTCGGACCCCATCTACAGCAGGGGCCCGACCACAAGAAACCTTCCACAAGAAACCCAACTCTGAGACCCCAGGACGCCCACTGATTTGTGGTGTGGGAAGGTCACCACGCCTTCGTCGCAAAAACCACGGAAACCCAAGAAACCCACTGTAGGATTTAAGTCGGGCTTGACCTTCTGCAGGGGGAATATCCAAAACAAATCCCAAAAACACTCGTCTGGGGACGATTTTTGAGCAATGCGTATTTTTCGCATCAATTTGAAGTTTCCCTCCAAAATCCGCCTGTCGGGGGACATGCCCGACCTCACTGCAGGATGCGTCTGGTAAGACCCGGTCCGCTGCGTCGCTCACGTGGCGCCGGTCCTCGCCGAGAGAGGCCTCCCCGCGGGGCGCGGGGCCCGCCGTGGCGGCTCCGCTGCCTCATAAAGGTCGAGACATGGGGGCCCGCCCGCTCGTCGGAGGGGGGGCGGAGCCTGCTCGCCCTGGGGCCGTCTCGGTTTACGTCGGGCCTTTGCCTCCACAGGGGGGGTATTCCAAAGCAGTTTGAGAAAGAGTCTGGGGACGGTTTTCTTGCCTCGTTTGAAGGTTGTTGGAACATTTGTGGGGGATTTCTTTTATTTTTCGTCTGAAATTCGCCCTGTAGGGGGACGCGCCCGACCTGAGTCTCGGTCGAGGCAACCGCGCAGGAACTTCGTGCTCATCCCAGAGATCCCAGAGATCCAACGCATGGAAAAACATCAAGGCGGAGGTCTTTCGCTATGTTCGGCCTCTATAGGGGCCCTCGCCGGGCCCCGGCACCGTCAACAAAACGGCTCCGGATGAAAAACGGGTCCTGGGGAATCGGTCGAGAATTCCGGGGACCCCGCATTGAAAACATCACTTTTCATGCCCATCTCGAAGATCCGAGGCTCGAGAAAATTACGGGAACAAGCAATGTCATAAACACAACAATTCGGAGGTCCGCGCGGATGTCTCGGATCGGCGCTGAACCCCCCTCCATGGCGCGCGGAGCTCGCCAGGGGCGGCGCCGGAGGCGCCGCCAGGGGGTCCAGCGGACCTCTGAGTTTTTCTGTTTGTGTCATTGCTCATTCCCTTCGAAATGGAGCAGCTGGTCTCGGGCTGTGTTCGGCCCCGGCGGGCCCTCCACGGGCCCTCTGGGGCCGCCCTTGGGGAGAGGTGTCAAGACCTCCGGGGGGTCCTCGCACGGAGCGGCGTTGGTGCGCCACGGCCAGCCTGTCGGCGAGGAGCGGCCGCGGCGGAGGCTCTCTGCAGGTGCTCGGCCTCGGGGGGCCGCCTCGGCCTGCGGAGGCTGTCGCGGGGCCCTCTCTGTTGGCAGTCTTGGAGTCCCTCTCCCGACCTGTCCGGAGGTCCACGGGGCCGTCCTGGAGGCGTCTTGGGGGCCCCATCGGGTCATCTTGGAGCCCCGCCGCGGGGCACGGAGCCGCTGGCGGCCCGCGTGCGCCGAGCCCTGCAGGAGCGGCCAGCCCCTCGCGCGGCTCCTCGGGGCGTCGCGTGCGCCCCCTCGCGCCGCTCTCGCCGCTCCCACACCCCAGTTGCGGCGTCGGGTGGTGTCCCAGGCCCCGCCCCCTCGCGCCGCTCTCGCCGCTCCCGCCCCGCAGTTGCCGCGTCGGGTGGTGCCCCAGGCCCGGCAGTGCGGGCTCGGGGTTCGAGGTTCGAGGCTTTGGGGCTCGAGGCGGTCGGACGTCTTCGGAGGTTCTTCTGTGCGGACTGTCCAGCCTCGGGATGCTCTCCAGCAGCTGCGCCTCGCCGAGGGCGTTCCGCCTCCCAGTTCCCAGGAGTCAACGAAAAAATTAAGAAGAGAACAATCCCAGGAGCCAGCGTCCCCCGAGCCTTCTTCCCCTGCCTCCCCCGCCGCGCGGAGCTGAGCGACACGCCATCCACCTGGCAGGGCACAGCGTGGCGCCGGGGCCGCCGCCGTGACACGCGAAGCCGGAGCTCCCGACCATTAGGTGCGGGCGGGCGTTCGCTTGGGGCGTCGTCGTCGGCGCTGGCTCTGTGGTACCATCGCATCGCGCGGGCGCCTGTCCAAGCCCCCCCCCCCTGCGTCCGGTCGTCGCCTCTGGCCCCGTGGCGGCCCCTGTTGCTGGAGCGAGAAGCAGCCCGCAGCGTGAGCCGACTCGAGGGGCACAATGGCGCTGCCGGGCTCTCCAGGTTGAAGTCGGGCGTGTCCCTCTACAGGAGAAACATCCGAAAATTGGAAAGGAATAGTCGGGGGACGATTTTTCGACTCTGTCTGTCTGAATATTTTGTAGCCTTTCAATATTTGTCGTCCAAAGTCCGCCTAGGAGGACACGCCCGACCGAGTTCTAGGACCCCAGCGTGGGCGCGAGGATGATCGCGCGTCGCGCGTCTGCGGTCTGGGCCAGACCGGCCGCCCCCTCCCCGAGGGGGGTGGCCCGAGTGCTCGAGGGGGCGCGATGGCAATGGCAATCGCGCGTCGCACCTCGCGGGGCTCGTCCTCCTCCTCTTCCCCCTCCACCTCCTCCTCCTCCTCCTCCTCCTCCTCCTCCTCCTGCTCCTCCTGCTCCTCCCACTCCTCCTCCTCCTCCCCCTCCTCCTCCTCCTCCTCCTCGCGTTGCAGAGCGCTCCGAGACGCGTTGGGAACGTCCCAGGGCGATCTGGAACGACCGCGGCGCCAGCTGCGTCCTCCAGACCCCGGCTCTTCAGAGGTGTCTCGGATGTGTTCTCATCATGCTTTCGTCGCACCCGTGCCTCGCAAATGGCCATGGCCCCCCGCGGAGCCCATGGGCCCCATCCCCGTCGTGCCGCAGCTATGGCGCGGCGCCAGGGCTCCTCCTGGAGCTCTTTTCGGCCGCCCAGACCGCCAGGCCTGCCCAAGCCGTGCTGCGACTCCCGCCGCGGCCAAGGGGAAGGCATCGGTCTTCGTCCCTCGTTCGGCGCCCCTTGAGGCATACAGTCAACCCGCAAATTGAAAGGATGAGCGACTTTCCAAGGGTACCCCTGCAGCCTTCCCCTTCCCCTTCGGCGCATCCTCGGCCGCTTTCGCTGGCCGCGCCCCGCTCGCAAAGTGTCGACGTGGCCTTCCAAGGGCCCTTGCATCCTCATCGTGCGTCCTTTTTTCGACGGGGTGACTGTAATCAGCACGCGGTTGCTGCGGCTGCCCTGTTCCTGCCCGAGCCCCGGAGGCGGAAGAAGCGGAGGCCGCTGGACGGCTTCGCGACCAAGACTTTCGTCACCTCGATCAACACCTACGACTTCGGCCCGCTGCTCGCCGGGCGGGACCCCGAGAGCCGCGTCGGCGCCGCCAACGCGCGCGGGCCAGCGGCAGGTCGCCTCGTCTTCGGCCCGCAGAGGCCGCCAATATGCAATTCTTAATACGTGCATGTATGATGTACATTTACCTGTATGTCGGCATGTACGTATGTATATATATATATATACATATATATATATATAGATAGGTAGGCAGGTAGGTAGGTAGGTAGGTAGGTAGATATGTATGTAGGTATGTATGTATGTATGTATGTATGTGTATGTATGTATGTATGCATGCATGTATGTATGTATGTATGTATGCATACATGTATGTATATATGCATGTCTGTATGTATGTATGCATGTACGTATGTATGTATATATGTGTATGTTTGTATGTTTGTATATATGTGTGTATGTGTGTATGTATGTATGTATGTATGTATGTATGTATGTATGTATGTATGTATGTATGTATGTATGTATGTATGTATGTATGTATGTATGTATGTAATTATATATGTATGTGTGTATGCATGCATGCATGCATGCATGCATGCATGTATGCATGTATGTATGTATGTATGTATGTATGTATGTATGTACGTATGTATGTATATATGTATGTATGCATGTATGTACGTACGTATGTATGTATGTATGTATGCATGCATGTATGTATGTATGTATGTATGTATGTATGTATGTTATGTGTGTGCATGCATGCATGGATACATGTATGCATGCAAGCATGCATGCATGCATGCCTGGATGCTTGCATGCACACATGCATGTATGTATGCATGCATGCATGCATGGATGCATTCATGTATGTATGTATGCATGTATGTATGTATGTATGTATGTAGGTATGTATGTATGTATGTATGTGTGTGTTAATGTATATGTGTATGCATGCTTGTACGTACGTATGTATGTTTGCATGTATGTATGTATGCAGGCATGTATGCATGTATGTATATATATATATATATTTGTGTATGTATGTATGCATGAATGTAGGTAGGTAGGTAGGTAGGTATGTAGGTATGAAGGTATGTAGGTGTGTAGGTGTGTATGTATGTATGTATGTATGTATGTATGTATGTATGGGTGTAAGTACGTATGTGTGTATGCGTGCATGCATGTATGTATGTACGAATGTATGTATGTATGTATGCATGCATGCATGCATGCATGCATGCATGTATCTATGTATGTATGTGTGTATGTGTGAATGTATGTGCACCGCAGTTGCGCCCCGCAGTTGCGGATAAGAGTAAGGGGGCGGGCGCGGGGTGTGTCGCGGGTGGGTCACGTGCGGGTCGCGGGAGGGTCGCGGGGTGGGTCGCGGATGAGTTGCGGGTGGGTCGCGGGTGGTTCGCGGGTGGTGGGTCGCGGGCGGGTCGCGCGTGGGTCGCGCGTGGGTGACGGGTGGGTCGTGGGTGGGTCGAGAGAGAGTCGCGGGCGGGTCGCGCGGTCGGTCGCGGGTGGGTCGCGGGCGGGTCGCGGGCGGGTCGTAGGTGGGTCGCGGGTGGGTCGCGGGTGGGTCGCGGGGTGGGGTCGCGGGTGGGTCGCGGGTGGGTGGGTCGCGGATGGGTGGGTCGCGGTTGGGTCGCGGCTGGGTCGCGGGCCGGGTCGCGGGCGGGACGACGACAACAAGCAACAAGCATTTAAAAGCAACAACAACAAGCATACAACAAACCACGAGCAACAAACACACCAACGATCATGTTAATATTGTTCGCTCTTGTCCGTTCGCGTGCCACTCAACACGTACGGGTTTTATACCAAACCCTCGATACCCGTTTTCTTCGTCTTTGACCGTACCCCCTTTGGGGATATATCATTCTGACCTGCAACGTGTATTTCGTGCAGCCCGTAAGGCAGGGGAAGCGAGGATGGATTGAATTAATGGTCAAGGGGGGGATGAAGCATGGAGCACGAGAGAGAGTATCAGGAGGGGGGCTATGAGCAGAAAACACATGGCATAACCAGACGGGCAGATCGGGCGGGTACACCTTACAGGCGGGCTGGAAAGGAGGGCCCAGGCGGCCAGGTCGAGCAGGTGGGTTGCTGAAGCGTGCGCCCTGCATGAATCGCGAGGAAGTTTCGAGCGACAGCTCGATTCCCAAATCAATCGTGAGGAAATCACAGTGAGAGCGTGACTCCTGAATGTTTGAGAGCGCAGCGTCTGAATACATTGCGAGAGATTCCCACGCGAGAGAGCGACTTCTGCATGCATTATGAGGAAGTCCCGCGCGAGAGCGCGATTTGGGAATACATTGGTGAGGAAGTATCAGGCGAGAGCCGCTGTTGTTGTAAGCCGCGCGGCAACAAGACAATTCTGAGACTCAAGACTTTCGGTGATTAAATAGAAAAAGCACAGTGTGCCGGGGACGGGGGAATCAACAACATTCTCTCGAAATGAGAACTCAATCAAAAAACAACATCAACAGCAGCAGCAACAACATCACCACGTAACACAACAATCCGCACCGCGGAAGCTCATTTCAGCCACGCACCCAGGGACAGTGAATGACAGCTCGTGCCCCGTTTTCTGATATGCACATACATAAATGTATCTTGAATCTGTTTTCATGTTTATGAGTGTAAATGTGTACACGCACTTATTTGTTTAACGATAATTCGATGTGCGTGTGTATACCTATACACACAATATTCGCCTACGTCACTGTGAGGGAGCCTCACTTCCCTCCTCGCCATCCCTCCCTCCTTCCGCAATGCTGACACCTTGCGCTTGCTTTGACCTTGCTCTCTGACCAGCTTCCGCCGTGCCAATCCGCCGATTGGAGTTAGCATGGGGATGCTTCGGATCCAAGTCAATCCCTCCCCCCTCTGCCCACCCGCCCGCCCGCTGTCCACTGTTGGCGGTGGTTCTGGTGCTGCCGTGGCCTCCCGGCTGCCTGCTGCCGCTGCGCACCCGGAGAAGGGGCACGTCCGACGAGTTCTCGCGTGCGGCAGGAGGGGAGCCCTCCCTTTGGCGTCGGATTGGCGGTCTATGGCGGCCCAGCACTGGTTCGGGCCAGCAGGGAAGGGGAGGCAGGTTCGAGGTGCTGGGTTCGATGAGGTTGTCGTTGCCCTTCTGGTCTCTGCGGGCCGTTTGCGGGCCCCGCGGGCCGTCGAGAGCGGAGCTGTGGAGCGACAAATTGCAGCAGAGGGACCTCAGAAGGGGTCTGGGGACGGATCCTGAGCGCACTTGCCCTCTTGACAGATTTCCCGGGGCCCAGCCAGCTCAGAGCCCCCGGGCGCCTCCAGGCCCTCCCTACCTTATCCATATTTTTTTGAGCGGCGCCGATGAGCTGCCGCGGCTGCGTGGACATTCGCGCGCAGGCTGCCCGTGTAAGTTCGCGCGTTCGCGCCCCCGTTTCCTATCCAGCGCGCCGCGCTGGCGGCCTGCGTGCGCCACCGCGTGACGTCGCTGTGGCATCGTGCGGGAGGCCCGTTGCTTTTTGCCGCTCTCATGGAACCAGGCTTAAGTCGGGCGTGTCCCTCTGCAGGAGGAATCTGTTCAAACATAGTGAAGAGATGGGCTGGGGACGATGCTCCGATTATTGTTTGTGTATGTTGGAGCATTTTTCCCCACCCGACAGGTTGGGGTTGTTACATTTCAAGAACAGACCCCCGGCCAACCCCACGCATACCGCGGCCGCCAGAGCCCAAGTTGTCCCGAGAGTCCCCGATAGTCCCTGGGGCTCCCGCCTCGGGCCCTCGACAAACACGAACAACACAGCAATACACAACATAGGATGACATAACGTAACATAGCAAAACCATGACAAGCACAGCGTATTATAACAACACGAAGCACATCATGGCATATCATTGCATACCATAACACGACATAGCACACCATAAGTCAGCACTGACATAACACGACATTGCATAACACGGCATAACACGACATTGCATAACATAGCACGGCATAACACGACATAACACGACATTGCATAACATAGCAAGACATATTGATCGTGGGTATATGAATCCGACGTCACAGAAGTGCAGCATCGTGAAAGAAAATAACACGGCCAGGACCTTTGACCCCATCCTTCTTCCGCACTCTTCGAGCCAGGGCGACCCGTGAGGTCGTCGTGAATCAAAAATTCGACGCCAGGATCTCAGGAAAGGATGAAGAGGAGGAAGAGGAGGACCGAAGAGGCGGAGGAGGAAGAGGAGGAGGAGGAGGACAGCTTTGCCCTCCTGCGAGCAAGAAAAATGCCGCACCAGGATCCCCGGGGAGGCGGGCGTCGTCACAGAAGGGGCTCGCCACGGGAGGGGTCGGCCGGGCTCCTCGCCCGACCGATGGCCTCGCTCGCAGCGGCCAGCGAGGCATCATGCCCTTCGGCGTGCGCGGGGGGGACTTCCTCCGCTGGCAGCACCGCCCCGCCGCGGCGCGCCAGGCGCCTTCGACGCCGGCGGCGCGGGGGACGGCGAGGCCACGCGTCGTTCCCAGCTTGCCGTCCTCGGGCAGAGCAGGGCGTCGGGGGGAGGAGGAGGTACCGCTGCCGCTGCCCAGCCCTCGTCTTCGCCCTGCTCCGGGACCTCCCGGGAGGCCCCCCGTCGACGACGTGGCTGCATTCGCCTGGGAGTTCTGGTCAGAACGCACCCAGGGAGAGGTCCGGGGAGTATCTCTCGGTTTCCCCAAAGATTGTGCTGACGATGATGTAGGTGAGGCTGTTGGTGTTGCTGATGGTGGTCGCGTGGGTGACGGTGGCGTGATGAGGGTGGGGAGTATGAGTTCGATGCTGATCATGAGAGTGATGGTGATGTTACTACTGATTATTGTGATGAGAGTGGTGATGAGGACGGTATTGACTGTGATGCTGATGCGGAGGAGGAGGAGGAGGAGGAGGAGGAGGAGGAGGAGGAGGGGGAGGAGGAAGATGACGAACATTTTAAGAGTACGGTCCGCTCAACGTCAACCAAAAGAGGAGCATTAGCAGGTTGGGAAGGACACCAAAGATAAGAGGTGGGAGTGTAGGTACAGACGAAGGGTGGAAGGGCAGGAGGAGGATTTCCTGATCCTGGTAACTGCCCACATACTACGGGATGCCCAGGGGTGGCGGCGCAAGCTCCCCAGAGGCGAGACTCCCCGGGTTCAAATCGGGCGGTTGGCCAGCTGGGGGACCTGCAGAGACGCACCCGTCTGCCGGAAAAAAGGTGTTATGAGCGCACGCGCATGCCAAGGATCGGGGATACGTCAGACTCGAGTAAGCCGTAATTCGGGTTTGCCGACGTTTTTTGACGAGCGAGTCTTGGCTTCTGACGGTCCCATATTCGTGGGATGTTTGCAGCGGGAGCTCGCGTCAAATTTCAGATTGGGTCTCGCCATCCTCGTGATGGGCCCGTCAGGCCAACCCGAGTCCCCCGAACCCAAGTCTTACGTCTCCCCGAAAGGAGGTAACCAGGCAGGAGAGGCAGGAGAGGGGTCGGGGACCGTAAGCAGACGTTGGCCGACCGGCCACTGGCGTGTGACTTCGTCACTGGGTGGGCGCCGTGGCCGCATCGAGCAGCCGGAGGCCGGCGCGAGCTCTGAAGGCGGCCGCATGGTTCCCCAGCCTTCTTCGTGTGGGCGGCTCTCCGTACAGTCAACCCGCACAGTAGGTTCGGTCGGCTACCCGGGGTGCCCTTGCATCGTGACCTCTTCGGTCATCTTCACGAGGGGAAAAAACACACAGACACAATCAATCGTCGACTTCCAGGGAAATATGGGAAAATATGGGTAGTGGGGTGGAAGACGAAAATCCAGAAAACATGGGAAAAGATGGGGGATCCTGTTATTTGTGTGTGTATTTATTCGTGTGCCCCAAGGCCCCTTCACATCTTCGGCCCATCCGCAACCCCTTTCGATGGCCAGCCCCGCTCGAAGAGCCTCGGCACGGGCGTCCAAGGCCCTTTGCATCCCTGCCGCGCATCCCTGCTGTCCGGGTGGACTGCAGCGCGGTGGGCCCGGCCACGCCTTGGCTGCCTGGCCACCGTGGTTCTACCCGAGGCACGTCATGGCCGCCGGCGTACACCTTATGCGATGCTTAAGAAAACGTAAGTTTTCGGCCAGAGTCTCGATTATTCTTAACTTTTGGATGTAAATCCTAAGCTTTTAATGGAAACGTTGGGTTTTTATTCAAGTTCTGAGACTATGAATTTCTTAACCCATGATTTCTTAAGCATTTCGCAGGGTGTAGGCTCCCGAGGGGTCGGGGGAGCGAGCGGCTCGCAGTCGGCCAGAGGGCAGCCGGGCGCGTGCGATCTGCATCGGGCCAGGCGCGGCGCGATGAGGCGGGCGGGCGGCCGGAGGGGGCGCGCGCTCCAGGCGTGGCACCGGGAGGGCGACAGGGGCTTTTTGTTCGATTCAGCCGATCCGACTCGACGTCGACTTTAGGGGAACGAGCAATGACATAAACATAAAATTTGGAGGTCCGCGCGGATTGCTTGCTTCCCTAAAGTTCACCAAGGCTCCGTTCGATGCTTCATCTGGGTGGCAACGAGGCACCAGGTCCAAGGCGCACGTCCGTCCCGAACATGCAGTGCACAATTCTCAAAGCATGTCGCTTTCGGTCCGATGTGGTCCGATTCGATGAGGTGCATCC